CACGGGCGGCGGGCGGCAGAAGCGCGGCTTTTGGCGGCTGCAGAAATAATCGGCAGGCGTCGGGGGGTGGGGGGGGTGTTGCTTGCTTTGCGCCTCACGTAGGTAGTGCCCAGCCCGCTGAAAGCAGGCCCAGCGGCCGCGGAGGGGGAGAGAAGCCCCCTTGTAAGTTAAGGAGCCGGTCTTGACTTTGAGCAGCCTGTTCTCAGGAGCGAATTCGGAGAAGTTCCTCTGTGCCGATGGCAGAGCCTTAGCTTGGTCCTTCCAGTAACGCTTTGTACGTGAGGGTAAATCTCGGCGCTTTCCTGCGTAACGCCGCGTTGTCGCGGAAGGGAGCGCGTCCGCCGGGCAGCGGTGAGCGCCAAGGGCTTTCACGCTGGGGAAGATGGACGGGAAGAGCTGAGAAGGGTAGTTGAATGGGCATCTGTAGGAGAAGGTGATAGAAGAACCTCTGGAGACATGGCAGTGGCTCTTCTCTTCCTCCTCAGATGTGCTTGGATGTGGAGTGTTACCAGTGCAGGTTAGGCTGTGCTGAGCCTGTTTCCCCCCACCCCGAACACGCGCGCCTTGTGCTGCTGCAGATCGTGGATCTGTGGAGGGCTGTAACAGTGTTATCCGAAACAGTGTGGTGGGTTTTGGGTCCCTCCTGTCCTGTAACGTGTTGACTGGGCTTCTGATAGTTGTTAAGTTGAATGGATTCCTAGCAAAACCCGCTGTTTTCAAGGTAAAAGTTCAAATCGTCTCCAGGCAGGTGGTTATTTAGCTTGTGTGAGAACTGCCTAAACTAGAGATGGAAGAAAGGTAGACAAGGTTTTCCTCTGTTCTCTCACCTATCCTTGCCTCAGACAGCCCTTCCTGAAACCTGTCCCCTGAGTACCTACAGCAGGTTTTGACTCTGCCCTGATATCTTACAGGGAAAGAAGCCCAGAAAGGGCCTCTGCTTTTTGACGATCTCCCGCCGGCCAGCAGTGCTGACTCAGGTATGGATGCTCTGTTCCTGGTTTCTGCATTTAGTTTGGCTTCCTGTGTTCTGCATCAGCCTCTCCTAGGTGAAACTTGTGTAAATTCTTCTCTTCCTTTGCTAGGATAAGGACATTTAGGTTTTCAACATTGGTTTGCCGAGAACTAGTGTTCCTCATCTTGGTTTTTTTCAGATAACCAGAACCTAATAGACATTCCACATTAGTATTCCCTGAAACAGATGCTGGTGTTAGGGCTGAGTCTGCCCCCACTGTCTAGTAACAGAAGTTGAAATATGGCTAGATTTGCTAGACTGGCGTTGCATAGTTTCTGCCCCTGGGGAGGGGCATGCAGAGAACTGTTCTTTTAACATAACAGAGGTATTTAGTTCTTCTTGCCTTTTTATTGCACTCCAGGAAAAGGAGGATCTTTGCTTTTTGATGATCTCCCACCAGCCAGCAGTGGTGATGCAGGTAAGGGCCTTTATCAGCCTCCCCAAATCTCTGTTGACCTACCCTTCTCAATAAAATACACTGTTAGAACTTGTTGCATTGGGAGTGTGGCGAGTTAATTTGGGGGCAGGGTTAGCAGTTTTTTCACCTCTTCTGTGCCGGTAGTGGTCATCTGTATGTGCCCTGATTATTTAAATTAGGGTTCTCATTATTTAAAAGTAAACTTAGATCTGTTCTCGAGAGCACATCCATCCGATGTCTTCCCGGTGACCCCCTGATATCTGTGTCTGAAAGCTATCTGCTATGGGAGTGAAAGTAAATATGTGCTTGCTAAGAGTGAAGATAGCGCTGGCTGAATGTGAGCACTGCCTTGACTTTTATTGCTTTTCTGCCATCGATGCAAATTGCCTCCAGTTACTAGCTGTGAATTTCTTCAAAAACCCCGACTGCTAGTCTGGCAAGGCTTTCTATGTTTGAACAAATGTTTGTTAGCAGCTGGGAGGAGACCATATAATTCAGTGTATCATGTGGGAACAAGTCTCCTGATGGAAAAAGCTAGGGTGCTGATGTCATGGGAATCATATTTTACTTCCTAGCTTTAATTTATAACCTGCCTTCTAGAATCCATAGCAAGCACATTATGTACTTCAGAGCAATAAAATATCCTTCCTTGCATTGTGACCACAATTTTTAGAAGCAAATAATAAAAGCTTAGAAATGTTCCAACATGAAATGTTAACTTCCTTAGTAGTTAACCACGATAAGAGCTGGTAGCTGAGAAATGAACAGCAGGTTGGTGGGGGAAATCATAGATATGGCCCTACTGTTGCTTATGTGTGGTTGCACAATTTTAAGTGATCAAATCAGTGCTTATGGGGCTAGACAGTAATGTATGGGACATGTTGTTCATGCCAAGTAAAATGCCTTAATACACCAAGCTGGGGAGATTTAAGTTTTGTTTTGTGACTGCAGGAACTTTTTTGTGTGTTTGTGGTCCGTTACTACGTCTTGGTTGACAAGTGGTAACTCAATCATTTAATATTGTGCAAGCTTTTGAATCTGTGCTCCTGGAAGGGTGCTTCGATATCAAAGGAATAGCTGCTGAATTCCTGCAAATAAAGCAGAACTAGAAGTCTTCAGCTCTCTGCACTTCTGTTCTCTTTCAGCTTCCTGTGCTACTGAGCAGGTCTCAGTAGAGAGCCATGGAAAAGGGGAGAAGAGGAAGTCCTTGGAGGAAGAGAAGAATGGCAGGGAAGAACTTGTGGAAAAGAAAGTTTGTAAAGGTTTTCAGACAGTTTGAAAACAAATGTACTTGATTTGTACTTTTGACGTTGGGCTGAGTAAGTCCAGATCAAAGCTAAGCTTTGGTTCTTCAGTACGCTTGCAGTTTCAGCCTCTCAGGGAATGAACTGCTGTGATGGTCTGTGAAAGCCCCTTGAGCTCTCTAGCGCTCTCTGCCTCTCTTATCTGGGGGTTTTTACCCGTCCTGCTAAAGTTGACTTTTTCTGCTAAAGTCGCCTAAAGTCGTAAAAGTTGAATAGTGAGCACGCTGGCATTCAGAGTGTAAGTTCCTGTGCAGCCCATAGGGAGATTGGTTATGAAACTATCGGAAGGACCGATCCAGACCAGTTTCTTTTGCCAGATCCACAAATCTCTCCGTTGAGGGGCTATTAAGAAAGCCAGAGAGACTCGCTTTCACATATAGCGCCTTTGACGTCAGTGCACATGCCCACGTGTTACGCTCAGCTTTGGGAATAGGATGTGTCCAGTGGTGCAAATGAAACTAGATTTTCTGGAAACAGTGGAATTTGCTTTCTTATTCTTAGCCTCCTCTTTAAGGCTGTGCTTTGTTTAATCTGTGGTTTCAGTGCCTTAGCATTCCTCTTGGATGCCATGCATCTCCCTTTTGATGAGAGCCCAGCCTGATGCCTTGCAGTATGGCTTGGATACAGCTGCCTGTCAAAACAGGGGCAAACCGCTTTTATAGCTGCTGACCTTGCAGGCACTTAACAACTCATGTTACGAAGTACATTGTTTTTGGCAGAAGGTGCCAGGTGTGCTGCTGCAAGGCAAGGGATACACTTTGCTGCAATGCTAGGAGTTACTCTGAAAGCCAAAAAGTGATTGCAGATTTGTTGCTTCTTAGCCTGAGCTGATGAAGGAGTTTGATGTTGTGTGCATGTGTCTGCTTTGTTCCCCATTAGGGTCAGTGGGCCTCCTTGGATTGAAGGGCTATGTGGCAGAGAGGAAAGGTGAACGAGAAGACATGCAGGATGCACATGTCATCTTAAACGATATCACTGAGGAATGCCAGCCTCTGCCCTCCCAAATGTAAGTGGGCCCAGACTTTCAAAGCCAGAGAATAAAGCTGTGGATTGCAGCTATCACGAGGAGGTGAAAGAGCTCCAGTTTGCTGGAGCTAAGCTGTCACAGCTAAGCCAGCGATACTGATCCATTTTGCTGGGAGCAGCTGATACTCTTGACTCTAACCTGCTTTGTGGTGTGTGTCGGGCTTATCTGGGAAACCAGGATTGGATCTTTAGCCCCGCTCTGTGCTCCTGAGCTAGTCACAGGACTAGATTATAAATAAGTATCCCCCTCTGAGTTACTGAGTTGCTGAGCACCACTGACCTCACAAGGATTGTGAGGGCCTGATAACTCTGGATATTGAGCCTCTGTTATCTGAACTTAATCATGGGCATTTAGAGACCCTCAGTTTAATTACAGCTAATCAGTCCTTGCCTTTGAGGCTTCACAGGGGGTAAAATGTTAATTGTGGCAATGGAGGACATGGATACTTGAAGAAGAGACAGCATAGATGTCAAAACTTTCTCATTTGATGAGTTTAAATCTCTTAGCAAATGATATATATTTTAAAGGAAGCATCACCCTGATGCTGTATTAGGTTCTAAATCAAAGCTCCTGGGAGCTTTGTTTGCTGAGGGATCTGAGTTTCTTGTCTGTAGCCTTGTTGCAACAAGTGTTAAGATATGCCAAGAGCTTTAGCATCTGTTAGATAGATGCCTGCATAGTGCTGGAGAGTTGCGGTGCCCTCGACCTGAAGTGTTTAGCTGCTCTTACACCAAGTTGTGGTCTGTGAACTCGCTTCTGTCCTTCACTTCTGGGTGGGGAAGTTAGGAGAAAGTTTTTTAGTGCTTGTACATGTAAATTAGGTAAACGCTTAAATGTGTGAGCGTAGGGACTTGCAGCTTTTGTTTGTGACTTGCAGCACAGTGTCACTTTCCCTCTGGCTCGGGGCAGGACAGGGTGTTAGGGAAACGAACGTTCTCAGTCTTCAGTTCTGACTAATGGACTTTTTCTATTATCATTTGCTCCTTCACAGCACGCGTGTCTCATACTTTGCTGTTTTTGATGGACACGGGGGAGTCCGAGCCTCAAAATTTGCAGCACAGAATCTGCACCAAAACCTGATTAAGAAATTTCCGAAAGGTGAGAGGAGTGGAGTAAGGGAAAGTGGGAGAATCATCACCTTTTATACCTTGGCTTTATGGCTGTTGCTCAGGGAAACTTGTTTGAACACAGTTCTAAAGTTCCCATTGCTTGTCGCAAACAGGCTTGCGTGCATAGAGACCATGCCCTCTCCTGTGGAAGAGGGTTGGGAGCCTTTTGGCCCAAGGGTACAAGTAGCCAGATGTGAAATGCTATGCAAGAGTTGAGATGTGCTGCTACCAGTCTCAGGAGTGCCACTTGGTGAGGAGAGGAAGAATAAAAATAGTCCCCTAGTGGAGAGAGATGTGGTATAAACTCTCTGACATGTTACCGTGCAGATCTTTGCTAGTGCAAACCCAGGATGTACCCTGGCAGCTCTGCATGGGATCTGAGAGATGCACTGCCGTATTTAACATTGGATGAGGGAAGGATGGGATCGGGTTAGGGCAGAGATGTTTTAGCAGGACCATAGTTGCTCTTTTCCTTGTCTGACAGGCGAGGTAGTCAGCGTGGAGAAAACTGTGAAGAGATGCCTTTTGGACACCTTTAAACATACAGATGAAGAATTTCTAAAGCAGGCATCCAGTCAGTAAGTGTAAATGCTTCTCACGTGTTTGTATTTTGTAGCCTGCATCTCACAGGCCTTGGTTTTGAGAGGGGCAAAAGAAACTTTGAGTCTTATCTATGCTTTGATGAGACCCCACTTGATCACATACAGCGTAGCTGTGCCGTTCTCTAAGCCTCCCCACTGGCTGGGGGTCTGACAGAGCTAGACCACTATGTGCTCTAATCTTATTCTGTGGTACAGGGTCTGTAGGACTATCGCATGCGTAATGCATGTTGCATGGTAAAGGAAGGGATCAAAGCATGACCAAGAATCTGCCTCTGTCCTTGTCAGAACATCTTTTATGCCTTCTTTTTAAAGACTTAGCATGTTGCTGAAATGACACTTCCTATACTGCATGAAATAGGACAGCTGTCTAGGTTGATGACATCAAAGCGTGACAGAGGGTATTTGTAGAGCAATACTTTGCAGGCTGCTGTGCGTGGCTTTCTTCAGAGTTGCTTTTGTGTTAGCAAGTATGTGCTCACCAGGCTCACTGCCTGAAGTGGAGTTTTTAATGCCTCCTGTTGAAAGATAGCCTCCCGACTTAAGTTTAATCTTTCTTTCTTCACTACTTTTGAAAATAGATGTGTTGGTGAAAAACGTCTCCCATCTTAAACTTGTTTCTGATTCTTTTAAAACAAAACTGAGAAGTGGAGAAACTGCTTTCTGTGGGAGTAATGCCAGCCTATCTCCCAGCTGGAGTGCGAGTGCAAGCACCCTTACTTTTTCTCAGTCTCTGCTGAGCTGATGTGCTAACTATGGTTTAGGACTAAGGCAGGTGCAAATTGGGTAGAGTACTGTCACTTTGTTACTGGCCTTTCACATTTTTTTTTTTCCCCCCTATTTCATAGTGTCACCTCTAACACAGCTGGGGAGACTTTTCATACATCTAGTTCTGAGGTTCCCTGCAAACTTTCAACTTAAATTAAAAACTGGCTTAGTCTCTTACACCTAATCAGTTAAACAAGCTTGCCTAGGCAAAGGAAAAAAGGGCTTCTTGATTCTGTTAGAGAGCAGGGTTTGGTCTGGTTGACCGAACCAGTCTCCATTTGTTCAGAAACATGGCTTATGACAAAGCTGCTATTACAGGATTGCTAGTGATAGATGCATTGATGATACCAAGCGAAGTGAATGGTATTTGTTCAGCTGCTCCTTGAAATTAGGGAAAAACTGGACAAAAAAAATTTCTAGACTTCAGTCTCTCACAGCTAGTTTCAGTAAAGAATGGTGTCATAGCTGGGCTTCGTTATGGGAAGGACTGATCTGGCAGCTGCAATCTAAGAAACACTTCTCATTTTACCCAGAGCTTTACAGGTACAAGCTTAACTACAGCAAGTGAAATACCAGGAGAGTGACTAAACTAGTGGTATTGCTACTAAAGAGGGGTGGTGAGAACTGAAGCAGGCAGGTGTGCTGGGGGAAAACGGAGGAGAAACGAAGAATAAAACTCTGCTCTCGTCTTGACTGTTTCTTCCCTTTGCTGCAAAGAAGTCCCCCGAGGAGGGATTGGGGTTGCTAGTTTGCTTAGAAAGCTACAGCTTCTAAGCAGCCATTGGGGCTGAACCTGTTCCATCTACAGATGAGCTTTCCCTGGAGCTAAGCGTGGAGGGAGGAAGGGTGGTATGGGGAGCGTGGTTGGCGGTAGTTGAAGCAATGGGGCCCTGGCCCCCTGAGAAGCAGAATAGAGCATCAGCACATTTAGAAGCTGGTGCTTTATGTAGCTCCTGCATCTTTATCCAGCTTGATGTTTATGGCCAGCAGTTTCCCCGGGTGCTCGCTCACAGCTTGAACTTGCAGGTTGTGATGGGGAGCTTGTGCTAGCTGACTGCTGAATGTCAGTGGGTGAGCCCTCTTTGAGTCTTCAGGAGCGCTATGTGACGAATCTCTTAAAAATTGTTTTCCCCCTTAGTAATCTTATTTTTGCTGCCTTCAGGAAGCCGGCATGGAAGGATGGCTCCACAGCTACTTGTGTCTTAGCTGTTGACAATACTCTCTACATAGCCAACCTTGGGGACAGCCGGGTAAGTGGAATAGAGAAGCTCACAGCTGGAGTCTCAATTCTTCCGAGACCTTATTAACTCTGAAGGGCAAGGTGTTGTTCTCATGAGATGTTCCCAGTTGCTGTTAGCTCCCCTGACCGTTCCTACCAAGCAGCAGCTTTGGAGAGGGAAACTCCTCTGTGTTGTCCCTCTAGTGCAAAACAACTGTGTGTTAGCTCTCTCTGAGCGGTGCTAAATATCTCCCAGTATCCACTACTGTTGCCTTCTGCCTTGTTTACAGGCATGTCATTCTGGGAAACCATTGCTATTCTTACGTACTCCATACTGGAGAGATCAAAATTACCATTCCAAGTTTACGCTAGTTCTCATTTTATATGTGCAAGGAGCCTGAACTGGGAACTTACAGCTCTGTTAAGCAAATTTTTTGCTGCGTTTCTGCTGTTGTTTACTCACAAAGGTCTTTTGTCAGCACAGGCGATTCTGTGTCGTTACAATGAAGAGAGTCAGAAATACGCAGCCTTAAGCCTCAGTAAGGAGCACAACCCCACACAGTATGAGGAGCGTATGAGGATACAGAAAGCTGGAGGAAATGTCAGGTAAACGGTTAAAGGTGATGAATGAGTAAATCTAAACCCTGCTCCAGCTTTGGGTGCCTGAGCACTGTTTCTGGACTGTTAGCTGAGCCCAGCACACTTGCTAGCGAGAGCCCAAAGGGAATCTCTTGCTGCCTACTGGAGGCACAGTGATCCCTGAGGTGTCTTTAAGGATTCGTGACTGAGTGGGTCAGTGGGGGGCTCGTTTCCAGGAATTTACAATGGCAACCGGGTGCTGTACTGCAAAGGCAGGAAGCTGAACTAGTGCTCTAGCCACATGAAAGGCTGACATTGCAATACAAGCACAGACGTGCTTAAACTTGAGCTTAACAATTTGTCTTGGTGCGTTTTTATTTTCTTTCTTTCTTTATTTTTAGGACATATTATTTGGTATGCATTGAACACAATTCACTTCCTACTTGCAGCATCAGTTTTCCCTCCTTGCCCTGAAAAAGGGGGAGCATTTCAGAGAACATGAGAGGCCCTGAGCGTCTGTCCTCATGGCAGTGCTTTCCCATCCTCGGCATGGAGCAGCCTGCAGTTGGTGTAGTTCCTCTGGGAGTTACCTGCTGTGCTGAGGCTGTTAGAAGTAGAAGGGCGATTTCTGGAGCTGGAGTGGTGTCACCCAAGTGTTGCTGTGCATGTAGGTGTGCGTGGCTGTTTGGGCAGCAGGTGCTCAACACAGCATTTGTATCTGATTTTCCTGGATAGGTTTTCTCCCTTCTTTGAGGGCTGTTTCTTGACTCAGTACATACTCTGGTTGGTGACATCTTCTCAAGAGCAGGCTCAGTGCAGGTGAAGTGTCTTCTGTTTTTATAGCCTGTTCTCTGCTGCAGAGGCAGAATGCCCCCTGGGGTGGGAAGGGGTGGGCTGAGTCCTGTCACGTTGCCGTGCCTGGGGAGCTGTGTTCCTTTATCTTCAGGGAGCACATGCCACTTCTAATGTTTAGCACTGATCTATCTTTGCACACAGGGAAGAGATGGGCTAGTCTGTTAGCTCTTTTCAGAACTGAGGGAACATCTCCCCAGCTGCCTGGGAGCCTCTCCCACTGGTGGTAGTTCAATATTTTGGACGCAAGAGATAAGGAGTGAAGAAAGGCAGTGTGTTAGCATCAGATCTGTTCTCTGGGACGTGCCTGGCTCCTTGCTTTTATGCTCAAACAGGGTTGGTTGGTCTAGGAGAAGAACAAGGCTGTGTCCTTCCAGACTGCACACAGTAGCCTTGTGAGGGGAGAAGATGCTTGATCTTTGGGAAGGGGGAGTGTGGGAAGCTGCCTGTGTGGGGGCAGCACTGGCTTAATTAGGGAAGCTTAACAAACAAAATGGCTCCCTAGGATAGTTTGTAACTTGGGTTTCACAGGAGCGGTTGCTGTGATCAGTGTGTAGTAAAGATCAAGTGATCGTGAGAAACTGCCGTGGTTTTCACTCCCCAGTGATGTCAGCTGTTGAACCAATCTACAGGGGGTGGTGTTCTGATAGGCAAGCGCAGGAGGGGCTAGCTAGCTCAGTCCTGGTGTTACTTTTTGTCATTTAACACTCCTGTTGAAATGCACTTTACTAAATATCTTGCTAAAAGATAATCTGCAGATTCAAGCCTCTGCCTCCAGGAGCTCAGCTCAGCATGTAAATCTTACTTCCCTGGCTTGCTAGGATGGGCAGAACTTGAGTTAGGACAGGGAGAAAGAAAACAGCCTTGAATTCTCTTGACTCCATTTCTTCCTCCCCCTCCTCCATTTGTGTGAAGCATTGGGAAATGTGCAGAAAGCGGTGGAGACTTGGAAGGGAAGAGGAGAGGCGGGATTTGTGCAAGGCAGCTAACCGCGCTATGGAGAAGAGCACCCTATCAGGCAGTGCAGTGAGGAGCTGTGCGCATGCATAGGGGCGCTCTCGATGTTCTCTTTCCATATGCAGGGATGGAAGAGTCCTAGGAGTGCTGGAGGTTTCCCGCTCCATTGGAGATGGCCAGTACAAACGCTGTGGTGTTATCTCTGTGCCAGATATCAAACGTTGCCAACTCGCACACAACGACAGGTAAAGCGTGCCCACGCACACGAGGGTTGCTGTGTCCTAGCTCTTGCTCACAAGTAGCACAAGCTACGCAACCCCATGTGCCTTGCTGTTAGGACCGAGGCATTTCAGACTCATCCAGATTTAAAAGATACTCTGGATCTAGTGTCTCTGCTCCCATTCCTTATCAATGTAGTGGGGATAACGCTGCTGCCTCACTCCACCAAGTTACGGCCGAGGCTCAGGTTGAATAAACTGCAAGGCTCGGACTTCCTGCATGCTCTGAATAAATTCGCATGCCAGTGTTCAAACAGTTGTTAAGGCTTGAATTCTTGGTTCCCTTTCCTGTCGACATGCCATTTCTAGAAGCCTTGATGTACACATCTACCAATGCATTCAGCTCTGATTTCGGAAGTTTTGAGATACTTTTCTAGTAAGTGATTGGCGATGATAAATTACTGTGAACTTTCAGGTCAATGCGTCCCTGAAGGTCCTCTGCTGAAGTGAGGATGTAACCCCATCCTGCTGCTTTTTGAGGGATTTGAGTTTCCATATCAAGAGATCCACTCTAATGTTTGTAAAGACACTCTGCATGTCAGGCTCTGAAAGGATGTCTTTAGGGGCATGTGCTACTGTGACAGGCTGGCCACCTCTGCAGGAGGGCTGCAGTTTTCCTTGTCCCCTGAATCTGGTTGGGGTTGATGGTTGATACGCTTCCCCTGTAGGTGAGCGTGTGTGTGAATGTGTGTACACAGCAGGCTGCAATTCCTCCATCGTCCAGTGGGGAGCTAGGAAGCATCTCCCCCTCTCTTAGGCTTCATGTTCCCCCAGCCCTCTGTAGCCTGCGGTAATAGCTTGTGGCAAAGTCTGTGACAGTTATGCCTCTTTTGGGGCTAAGCTCCTCACTTACTCTTTTGAGTATTTCTCATTAAATTATGTTAGTGCTCGTCCCAGGAGCACAAGATTTTAAAGGCTTTAAAGGGATGCACTTAAGGTATTAAGCCTGCTGTATGCCTCTGTTTCCTTGCGTTAGCTGCTTTGCAGGCAAAATATGCGATTGAAAAGGACTTGGAGAGAAGAAGTAGTTTCTGGAGGAATAATGGAGCTTTCCAGCAGGGTCCATGGACGTTGTATATAGTCTTGGATAACTGTGCGGTGTCGGTAGGTCCCCCAGGACGTCCTGATCTAGGTCTTGACGTTGCTGGTCTGACTGTTTTGAACTGCCTCAGCTCTATGAATAGTAAGTTCTGGAGTATCAGGAGACTTCCTAATGTCCCTGAGGGTTTTTCAGATGAGCTTTATGGCCTCTTCCCTTTGGACTGGAGCATGACTGCTCATAAAATAGGATGGAGGGATTTTGCTCTAGCTGGGGAGTCAAAGATTCAGCCTTACAACCTGGCTCTGTTTTGTTTCCAGGTTCATCCTGATAGCGTGTGATGGCCTCTTCAAAGTCTTTACACCAGAAGAAGCTGTGAACTTCATTGTGTCCTGCCTGGAGGTGAGGAGAAGGCAACTTGGAGGTGCTGGTTTACTTGTGTACTCCTTCATCAGTGCAGGAGGCATGAAATAGGATGTGACTTGCTTCCTCCAGGCTAATACCAAGCTGAGCAATGAGCGTGTGGCACAGAAATGTACTTCTGCCGGGGCTGATGAGAGCTAAGTGAAGCACTGCAGGGCTGTTCCATGTATCTGGGGTTGTCCTTAATTGTTTTGCTTCTCCATGCTTGGCAATTCTCAAGTGCTTGCGCCTACGTACTTTGCTGGGAGCAATCAGTGTCATCTTTCCTCGTTCCGACAGGATAAGAACATCCAGACGAGAGAAGGGAAACTAGAAGCAGACGCTAGATACGAAGCTGCGTGTAACAGACTGGCCAACAAGGCAGTGCAGCGAGGATCGGCAGACAACGTTACGGTTATGGTGGTCCGGATAGAGCACTGAGCAATGAGGTGCGGCTGCGGGATCCCGAGCCGTTTCTGGCGGATGTAAGGAAGGGAGAAGGCGGTGTGCGTGCGTGTGTGGCTGGGGGAGGGAGGGCCCTCTTGGATGCTCTTCAGTGTAAATAAAGGTCTTTTCTAATAGTTTTAGTTCATTTGGCCAGCAGTGTTTTATAAATGGCGAAGGCTGCCACAGTGGGTGAGCCTGCGGGGAGATCTCTTGTCCTGTCCATCCCCACTGTGAATGTGATGACATACCAAATAAATGTCTTTGGTAAAGGTGCTGGCAAGAGGAGGCATCTTTGCATTTGAACTACCACCCGTTCAACATGGTGGCAGTTTTGATGTTCGTTTCCTTATGCTTTGTGGGAGGCCCTGGGAGTGTTTTTGAGCATTCAGGACTTGGTGGGAGCTCCAGGTCCTGCTGTACCGTGTACGTTGTGCATTACTCTAGGCCCTCTGTCTGGAGCCCAGAGTTGGCTTATGTTCTTAGTGCTGGGAAATAAATTATTTAGTTCTGGAACTGGTTTTTGAGGTTGCATGTAGCTGAGTGATAAAAACACAGCTTGCAGAGCAGCAGTGTGCCTTCTACCTGCTTGTGGAAAACATTGTTTTTATCCCAGTTATTGATACAGTAAAAGTGGCTGGAGTTTGTTCCTGGTATGTCGTACATTTGTAACTAGAAAAGCATTTTCCAAAGGATTCAACAAATGCACCTGCCGGGCGGTTAAGATAAGGACAGGCTCGGTGCTTGTCCCTAGTTCTGGTCTTTGTGCTATCGGAGGAACAGGCACCTTGGTTTAGGTACTGGTTGCTATTAAATATTTTTCTTTCTCATTCCTCTACCAGCTGTTGGTGCAGAGAGGAAGTGATGCTATTTTCCAGAGAACCATTCAGAAGGAGAAGTAACTATATCTCACATTCTTTAACACCTTGTGCTTAGGATTCAAGTGACAACGTGGAGGCTAAATGAATTTAGATACCAAAGCACTTTAATCAGATATATGCCACTTTACAAATTACACGACTTCCCTGACCTGTGGGCAAGATGGTATGATGAGGGAGGGAGATAAGGCAAGTGGGGTTAGCGTACAGTCGTTTCTTACACAACCTCCTTGCTCCACGGGAGAGATGGTGCAGTCCTGGAGAGGCTGGCTGGGTTGGTGTGGAGGTTCCTGCCGTGTGCGCACAATCCTGGCGTGGGATCGTGAAGGGGCTCTTTTCCGCTCCCTGCGATCCCTGGAGGTTGGAGAGAGGGTCCTGGATCCTGGTGCAGGGTCATGGGGCCTCTCCCTTCCCTCCTCAGAGTTTCAGGAACTCTCAGTTACACCAGTACTCGAGCATCCCTAGTTGTAGGATTAGCTAGAGAATGTCTCATTGATTAGCCTGTTCAAATTGTGCTGTTGTTCCCTGATCTGTTGTCACCATTTGTTACTCACAATCTGCTTGTTCGAACACCTCCGGACACTTTTTGCACTTTTAGTGATTAACAGATTGTTTGCCTAGGTGGACTGTCTGTTTCCTTGAGCACACCAAAACCATTCTGTGTCTGGGGCAGGTGGTTGATTATATTTCATCTGCTATAGCAAAAAGTCAGGCTTATGCCTACAGTTCAGCTAAGCAGACCTAACTCATGCTATCTGCTACACACCTCTGTGTAACGCTGAGGGAGGAAGCGGGCCTCCAGCATGTACGTCAGGCAGTGTTCAACTCTGCCAGCTTGTTCTGCTTCCAGCTGTTTCTCTGCATACCCCGATGTAGCGTTGCACTGCAGGAAGAGCTGAGGGGGAACTGTGCAGGTTAGCAACATGCTTTCTCGTTTCTGTTCTTGAAAGCCAAATGGGAGACAGCCACAGCTGAGACAAGTAGCACTTAGTGTATGCAGTCCCTGGCAAAAGAAACCCTGATAACATATCTCAGAAGGACAACTCGCCCTCCCTTCTCATCTCCCTGCTTTTCACAGCTCTTGCGCTGGGGAGAGCTTTGTGCTGGGCTGCTAGAGGTGAGCCATGCGTTAGTCCTCCAGGAGGAGGAATCTCTTCCTTGCAGTGCAAGAGCTGGTGAAAGAAGTGTCAGCTTGTCCTTCTCTTGCCCCTTATTACAGCCGTTCTTTCCTTCCTTTAGAAAGATTATTGAAAGCACAACTCCAGCTAGGAACATAATATGTGGTGTTCCATAAAATGCATTACACCATACACTTATTAATGGTATACGTAAATGTTCATCATGGTGGTGGGCAGAGTGAAGCACCATGGAGCAGGTTTTACCAAGCTGAGGAGAAAAGTAGTGAGCCAGTTGGAAAGGCCGGTTCAACCCTAGACTTAATGGAAATCAAGAAACTATTTGCCTGCGTTTCCTGGTAGGGGTGGGGTTAGCGAAAAGTTTCCTGAAAATAAACTCGACCATGTTGTTCAGCAGCATCCTGCTACTGTGAGGAGCTTTTAGCTTTTAGCTCCGGACAGCACCCCGGGGTGCTGTCACCCCGGGGTGGCCCACGCAGAAGCGCCCTGCATGCACTTCCTCTCCCCTGGGCTGCCTTAGCTTCTGCTCTTAGCTTCTAGCCCCAATAGCTCTGACCAAGTTCAATCTTTCGGTTTTGTTTTCTTAGAAGTGCATTGGGCTCGGTATGCTGGCTGGCAGAAGGCAGCTTATCACCTTGGCAAGCCCTGTTCTCCAAAAGTGAATCCGTTTGTATTCTTGGGTGTATTTGGTAGGAGAAGAAGTTTGGCTAATCTGAGCAAGAGTAACGTGGCTGATGGTTGCGTGTGGTAACTGGGAAACGCTATCTGGGTTGAGCTCCTCAGCTGGGTGAGAGCTGCAAAGGCCTCATCTCTGCCAGGATGCTGCTGCCCACTAGTTCAGTTGATGTAAAAGCGCTCTTTTTTTTTTTTCTTTGTTCC